GATTCAGGTGCTGCCCAGAGCACCCACAGCTGGCAGCATGTGTTTCTGCTTGTGGTGCACATCCGCACATGCCTTGGTGCACAGAACAACATTCATTCCACACAGATGGAAGAAATTAGAGGGAACGTTGGAGAAGACCTGAGTTTGCTTTGTGCTGAAGCTGCGTGGGCCCTCAGCCAAGGAAGCCAGGCTAGAGCCTGCTCTGGATTCCCACTGAAAATCCAGGAGAGTTGGCCTCTGCTAATCCCAGCTAGAACTTCTCTGGACCTCGGTTACCAGCCTGCAGATGGGGGGGCTGTATTCCCTTTCTCCTGCCCTGTGTCTGTCATATCTCTGGCAGTGGCAAGCTCTGTAGAACAGGGACTGGCTCTACCGGTCTGTGAATAGTGAGGCTGGTGTTAGAGCAACGCCCCATCTAACCTAGTATTCGGTCTCTGCCCGTGGCCAGCACCTGGCGCTTCTTCCAGCTGGAGGTTTAGGAGTACCTGGAGCGTCTATTGATGGGCCTATCCTCCACAAACTCCTCAAACCCTTTGTTTGGAACCCAGTTTTACTTTTGGCCTTCCCGGCGTCCCCTGCACCGAGTTCCACTGGGTGACCCAACGATACACGAAGAAATATTTCTGTTCTGTTTGTCAATACGTGCCCCCCCAGAGATGGTCCCGCGAATCTTTTTCCATCCATGCGCGGAATATTTTTTGTACGTGCACTGAGACATGTGCACCACCCGGAGAAACACAAAACCTAGGTGTGGGCGCTCTGCTAATCTGCTGGGCAGCATTTGAATGTCTCCTGAGCAAGCGCACAGCTTACGGGGGACGCGGCCCCCTAGTTTGTGTGTTATGTGAAAAGATAACACTTCTTCCTTCGCTTTCGCTCACCCCTCATGCTTTTATGCCCATTCCCCCCAGTCGTCTCTTTTCCAAGCTGAATGGTCCTAGCCTTTTTAATCTTTCCTCGGACGGAAGCTGTTCCATACCCCAACCATTTTTCTTGCCCTTCTCTGTACTTTTCCCGGCTCTCATCTTTGTTTTGAGATGGGGCGATCAGAGCTGCATGCGAGTTTCAAGGCGGGCGTGTGTGTAGCATGGATTTGTAGAGTGGCATTTTTCTGCTTGATCCCCTTGCTACGGGTGCCTAACTTCAGCTTGTCTGGCGGACGTTGAGTGGAGGTTTCCAGAGATCCAGCCACGACGATGCTAAGATCTCCGCCTTGAGTGGGGACGGCGAATTTAGATGCCATCCGTTTGTATGTCGAGTTGGGATTGCTCTTCCCAGGGCGGATAATTTTACACGAACCAGCATTGAATTTCATCTGCCGTTGGGTTGCCCAGTTGCTCGGGGCCAAGCCCCCTCTGCCGCGCTTTGCTGCCAACTTTGCATTTAATTCTCTTGAGTAATTTTATCACGTTGGCAAATTTTGCCAGCTCGCTGGTCGCTCCCCTTTCCAGATCTGTTATGAATAAGTGGAGCGTTGTTTGTCCCGCAGGGATCCTTGGGGGCCCTGCTTCTGGAGGGGAACGGCACTTTTTCTCTTAAAGCTTGGTTTGATTGATGCCTGGGCCAGTGGACGAGTTTGGAGCAAAGACCGGTGTTCCCTGTAAGCTGAGTGCTTGGGCGGCCACCCGGGGGAGATTAAAATGCTGCCCAGCTGATTAGCAGAGCGGCAGCTTGTGTTTCTACTGGTGCTGCACCCGCGTCAGTGCACATAACAAAATTTATTCTGCACATGGATGGAAAAAATTAGTGGGAACGTTGGCAAAGACCCGAGTTTGCTTTGTGCTGAAGCTGGCTGGGCTTTCAGCCAAAGAGTCTGGGCTACAGCTTGCCCTGGGTTAACCCTGCCGCCCAGGCAGGGGAGGGAGCAGGATTTGCAGTGCAGGGAAGGAATGAGGCAGAGGCTGTGCTGAGAGGCGGGGGGCTCGCACCT